ATCGCGATGCCCAATGCCCATCTACGTGAGTAGGCAACGTATGTATATCGATGTATGTAGTTGGCCAACAGGAGGATGCGACGTAATATACGATGCGCGACATGCGGCGTGCAGCGGCTGCACGAGTAAGGGTAAGTTGTCCGGTTCGTTTGCTAGATTCACTTGTATCAACGTACTATCAACGACTTTCGTCTCCGTGGGAATAGTTGATCGCTGTACCAACGTGCGAATCACGACGAATCGGTGTATCACGGTAAAAACGTGTGCGCGGCGCGGAGCGGCGAAAACGGTTACACGATGACGACGACGACGACGACGACGACACCGACGATAATGACGAGAGAAGTGGCTCGCATATTCGTTGTATACGGGAGAAAACAAAAAAGGGGAAATAAACGGGTCAAGCGGTGTTCGATTTTCGTTGGCAGTAGATAACGAAAGTGCGAGGCATCGCGCACGCGATCGGCTGTCTGAAAATGTCTAAAAATACTTTGGCAAGATACGTTACTCACCGTCTGTCCTCTTGATATTTATACTGTTGCCGGTCTCAATGTTGTACATGCCGTGGTCCATGGTCATTTAGTCGTGTTCTCACGCCGTGGCTATGATCGTAAGACGGCCGGTTTTTCACCGGATCGAACACGACAGCGATGAAGAAGACGACGACGACGATACGACGCGACGTCGATGATGTTGACGCGAGAAAAACGCAGCGATTCTCGGGCAACAGAAGCCTTACGAAGACCGTGTAGTTTACGAGACTTCGAAATCCGACCGTTGACAGTTACGCCAGCGTTCGCGTTCAAAATCACGCGGCTGTGCTGCGTTCCTCTCCGCCGTCGTAACTCGTACTTTTCCCTTTCCGTCACCGCTGCTGCTACCGCTGCTGTTATCGTTTTTCTGCCCTATTTTGCTGGTACACGGTGTCCCGTGCTTTATCCTCGCTGCTGTTCGTTCTTCTCTTTGTCGCAATCTTAACCGCAGTCCCAGTCTCGCTGTCGTTGTCCACCACCTCTTGCCGTTGTGTATTTTCACGTCAGGGACGTCGCCGATTGTGTCCAAGGCACGCCCGTTTTGCGAATTCTCGTTTAAACGGTAGCTCGTGTAACCCGCGCGACAGTACGCTCTCTTTCCACGAATTTTTAACTACGCCAAAACGAAAACGCAACGACTCGAAATTACATTCGAAGATTCGTTGAATTTCACGAACGAGATGTTTCCGGGATTTTGTGCCGGGATACTGCCAGTGTCCGTTATTGACAACGGAAAGACTGCGAGCGCCAACTCTCGGTCGACCATTACTGCCGCGACATCTGTTACTGTGCACATACCTCTTTTCGAGCAGCTGCATTCTCCCTCCATCTATTGGCAATTTCGAACATCGCCCCGTCGGCCATTTTCTCCGCCTGATCTTAACCACTTGAAAATATCTAAACACGATCAGGTCGGAGATAAAAACCAGACTCCGGACGTGAAATTGAAACGTAGCGATAAATATCGGTGGCCTGCTGTTGCGGAACACCAGATATCTTAATTTTATCCTGAATTTTAACTCGTTTTATTTTTATTCCTTTACGTATAAGATACAAAGATGTTTTATTTATTTGTCGCTGTAGCGATTGGTCTTCGTAGCAGACGACTGTTTTATTCGAATCGAGGTGCCTGCGATTATTTCGGAAACACAGCTTGCCTCACTAGTGTTTTTAATTCCTCCAAATCTAAATCGTCGTCCCCTTTGAATCGATCGACGATACGTTTCATTCTAAAATCAAACACTCTCGATAATTACATATTTTACGATGCTGCGCGTACGAACTATTTTACCTATCGATACGGCAATGAATACTCGTTGGTAAATCGTGTTCTTTTATCTTCTGGAATACCTGCGATTGATCGAATTATAAGTATATTCGTATAATCCTGTATATAGTATAATCGTGCTTAATTACCAACAACCCTCGCTTAACAACGTCTTCTTCCAGTTCCGCGATTCTCGCTACGTAATGCGCGAAACTGCGCTTTGTGCTACCGTTGGTCAGACGATAGAGAAAAGCCAGTGATTCATCTTGGTCGATCACGCATTCGAACGTCTGTATTCCAAAGGAAGGAAAAAATCGAAAGGGAGAGAAGAGGAAAGGGAAGAGAGGGGGTATACGAGTACAAACTATCGACAAAGATGTTTTCTCTCACCTGAGTCTCGATTACAGGAGTTTGAGGCAATAACGCAAGTACGTTATACGCGTGCGTCGCGGCAAACACGTGAGGACAGTTCGAACCTCTTTCGGCGAACGTGTTCAGTACGGCTGCAACCAGCGACAATCCGCTAATTTCGGACGTTCCTCTGTCTAATTCGTCCGATATTACGATCGAATCTGATGTAGATGCGCGTAGAGCCACGTTTATCTGAAATGCAAACTCGTTTTTTTCGATTCGATCTAGGGAAACGTACACCGCTCGCCTACCTGCCGAAGATTCTGTAGAAACGAACTGGCGTTCAGTCCGATGCTTTCTGTGTTCGACATTTGAGTCAAAACACGAGATATCGTCCCTATCGTCGCGGTTCTTGCAGGAACGTAACAACCTATATGAGCCATGAACACTACGAGTCCGATCTGTTTTAGGTATACGCTTTTGCCGCAAGAATTTGGCCCTGTTAAAACTTTGATTAAACTTGCACCTTGCCCCGAACGTATGTCGTTTGGCACGAACGTCGTCGCGCATTCCATCAGCGGATGCCGTCCTTCGACCACATTTATGATCTTTGACTCGGTCACGTTTGGTCTGACATAGTTATAATCGCGCGCCACTTTGTAAAACACCAATAAACTATAACGATCGAGCAGTGCGTGTTAACCATCGAATTGTTTGTACGACCTTTGCTTGCGATTACGGGTACTTACGTGTCCAATTCGGCGCACAGTTGAATCGTGCGTAAAATTGTTCCTGTGTGTTTCTTTATGTATCGTATTAACTTTTGTACGATATGATTCTGCCGAACGGCTATTTTCAATATGATATCACCCACGGTCTCGTCTAGTTCTAGAATAAACCAGCCGAATGAGAATGAACAAGTGTAAAAGCTTGGTTCGTAAAAGCGAAACAACGAGACACCGACCTTTCGCCGAAGAACTTTTGTAATAATGCACCTGATTAATGCTGAATTTGAATTCCAAACCAGGGTAAGTAGCGTCTTTCGTCGGCGGAGTCGGATTCCACTCGTTTATCGCTAAAACGTAGCCAATGTTTGGCAAATATAGCATGTTACAACCGGTGACAGAAGATGGAAGATGCTCTCGCATGTCTTTCTCTCCCATTTGCGTAAGCAATTCGGGCAGAGTACGTCGCACATTATTCACTGTGAATCAAGAGGCTCTGATTACGATTACGATTAACAATTCGTAGAAACAATCAAGATAAATCTTGCACGCACGTTCGTCCAGCAAGGGGTCGACATTCGGTTTAACCACCAGCTTGCTCTCGCGTCTGCTCTCGCCAAAATCCACTATGTATTCGATAAAGTACTTAACGTATTGCATCTCGCTCGTGATACTTTCGGCTATTTGCCTAAACAGTTCTATTCGTCCTGCGTATTCTTCGCATATGTCCGCGATACAAATTACGTGCGAAATGGTCTGAAAAAGCAAATGAAATCGTTTGACTGATCGAGCAAGGCGCAAGGATCGTTCGCATATTGTTTATAACTGGATTCAGCAACTAAAGGAATCGGAACAAAGAATCGAACCTTGTGCAATTTGTACCAATTGGATGGCTTGGCTTGCGGTCCGGAACAACAGGCAAGCACGGTGTTGGTCAAACGATATACGTGCCTTAAGCAAGACGATAAATTCTCGACAACGCTCTGGTTCTTCGAATTCAGAAAAAATTCGACAGCGTTTAATCGTTGCTCTAATACGGCGATGTTCCGCGTCGGATGATGTAGCGTCTTCCTGCGGTTACAGATACAAACAAAAACAATAGGACAACCGGGTGTCTCTCGCGAACATACGCAACTAACAGTAGATAAACTAGAATTTACCACAGAAATTGAACTCCCGGTCTGGAATGGCAATAACGATTCAGTAACGAGAATAAACTGATTCCTTTCATCGTTGTACTTGTTTTGCCAAATTTAAAAAGACTCGGGTGATCTCTGGCTTGGACGATATTCAGCGCCTTGTAAGTGTCTTCGTCCATTATGACCAAATCTCGGCTTGTTCCGCAAAAATATAAAACCGAATAGAATGGAAAAAATTGCGGACGATGAGAGAGTGGAAGGAACGTGATTTCAACTTACAGGTTGAGGTAATTAAGCGATACGAAGGACGGTTTTCCGGACGGATCCAACGCGATATTGTTCCAGTGTTTGTCAATGAACAGCAAGAGCGAACCCAACGCGTGTATCATCGCGCAGCATTTAAAATTGAGTATAGTATTCAAAAAGGTTAGTCTGTCCACGTTATTGGCGTTCTTCGGCTCCGAGTCGAGTCGAAGGCATCTCACCCTGTGAGAACACCGTTCGTAGTTATGCTCCTTTTTGCAGGTTACTTTCAACACGGCGTTACGCACGGTACCGCGCGAATCGAACGAATTCGTTTCCTCGTTCGATGCTTCCGTCGTCAATATCTTTTTTATAGCATTGGTAAAAGCAGCGGGTGCCGCAGCGTTCGTAATCACGTAACGGGGCAAACATTGCCTATACAGAGCATTCGTTACGTCGAAACGTTCAACGTCGTCCATCGTGTCTTCCAAAATGAACAGTTCGGACGTAACGATGTTATAATAAGCGGCGCCAAGATGACTGTTGTTCCAAATCATCGATAGAATTATCTGGGGAAAGAAAGACGAAACACTTAACGCGCAGCTTTGATCACCGATTTGTTCGATTCGACGTTTTCGAAAAAGGAAAAGGAGATAGAACAGAAATTTCGATGAGACGTGCCTCGTCCGTGTCTTCGAAAATGGCCGTGTCGACTGGAGGGGGATCGGTTGTGTCTTTACCGGTTTTCGATCGCGTTGCTTTCTCCAGCTGGTCGATCGTTGCTTTTTCTTCTTCGTCGCTGCTATCCGATATCAAAGATTCGAATTCGCTACGTCTTTAGATAGAGATTAGAAAAACATGAAAAAGCGTGTGAAGAATAGGAAAATACGATGATATAAGTCAGTACATACATGAGCGCGCTCGACGGTGTCGACTTACGAATGATTTTAGATCCTACGCTGGACAGACAGTCGATTATATGTCGACGATTCGACGTCGACGATTCAGTGTCGTTGGATCGTCCCGTTTCGTCAGAATAATCCATCGTAGTAGGAAATATAAACGAATTTGAGCAACAGACGGAACGAGGTATGGTTCGATCGGTTGTAGTTGCGATTAGCTTTCTGCGCATGCGCGACGAGTTCGACTAAACTCGACTGTAACCGCCGCCACATTCGAAATCGAAAAGCACGTTGTAAAAACAAGATGATATTTTATTCCATTATATATTACATATATACACCGCGTTATATACATAATAACAATATATATAGAGTCGTAATAAACGTAGCAAATGGTATGTTTCGCAACATATTCTCGATACTGTCACGAAAAATGTTGGTTAAAAAACGGAGGATTAGCTCGGAATGGGCGGAGGTGGACGAGGATTGAAGGAAATCGGCTTGTATGTTTTTCGCTTCGAAAACGGTTGCACTCCGGTTAGTATAAAATCGTGGGTAGGATTCCTTGGATGTCTCGTTGATTCTACCAGCAGCGACAAATCTTCCTCGGATGCGGTTGCTGCGGCCACGCTTCGTACTGGACTACCGGACCTGCTCTCAACGTTCGTTCGCTGTTTGTCTTCGTTCCAACTGTCTCGCTCTTGGCGTTTGACGAAAAAATTCGAGCGATTCGACGATTCGTGTCTTCGGTTAAGCGTTTGTCTGTTTTCGGCTTGCGAATCGCGAGACTCGTTTGGTCGTTGTTTAACGCGGTGCAGTAGAATTCGAAAAAATACATGTATATGTATCGATCGATCGTTCGAACGCTCTTTCTTCGAAACGAGTCGTCGATTCGCTAGACTCTGCTGTCGCGGATTCATGCACGATATCAACTTAGCTCTAATGAAGCGTTGTTAGATGACTAGAGGCGTTAGGATTATTTCTATATCATGCCCAGCTTAAAAATTCCACGAAACGATCAACGATCGTGAATGGAACACGAACGAAACAGGATCCCGTTAAGAATCGTAAGCATAGGTACCGTATAGGTATCGTATGCTACGGAGTCCATATAAAAGATCGATACCAACGCGATTGGACGCAAACGGCGAAGAAAGCGCTTTTATTTTCTAAGCTTTCGGTTCACCAGGAAATCGAGATTCCGTATGCTCGAACCTACCTAGGTCGATGGGGTTTGCTCTTGATTCTGTTTTGCCTGGAATGCGGCCTCGTGTTCGATTGGGACAGTTCGCTGTCGCTACTCGCGAAAGAGGTTTTAGTTGCCACGGTGCCGTGCGCGAAATCTTTCCTACGAGAGAAACGTAACGTCTCGAATGAAATAGAAGGAGAAGGAAAAGAGAGAGAGAGAGAGAGAGGAAGAAAGGTATATTGTTTCAACAAATCAGTCTTACCTATAATTGTCCGACTTTGGAGTAGAATTGGACGCAATTGGTGGCTTGCCAGGTTGAACGTTCGCGTCGACGAAAACGTGCGAACTTTTCGGAATGTCGCAAACTATCTTTGGATGAACAGTTGTTTGTCTGTGATTGTCTAAATGATTACAGGTATCCGGTGACCAATCGTAATACTTTGGTCGATAGTCTTTTCGCTCGGCACGAAGTTGTTTAGTCGAATCCGAGTCACCGATAGAACGTTTGCCAGGTGCGATCGTGGACGAGTTCCCAATTGGCAACGAAGTAGGAGAGGATGCGGTGGAGGAAGGCGCGCCGTCCGGATCGGCACGAGACAACTGCGAACCATCCCAGTCGGGGGTCGGCAGGCTACTGCAACAACGAACGATCTCGAGATATCGAGTTGTAGCACGATAGGTATGTATTGTTGCGTATGCAAGGCACGTTGACTCGTCGTTTTCAGCCCAGAGTCGGGGTCATACTTACTTGAAATTCTCTTCCATTTCTTTGAAAAGACGCAACTGTTGTCTGATACTCGCTTTTTCTTTCGCGCGTTTTCGTTGAAACTCTTCCTCCACTTTGCGCATCGCTTCGAGTTCGCCCTTTCTCTGCCGTTCTTTCGCTTCGGCCTCCCTCGACAGCTTCTCGGCTAATCGACGTCTTTCTATCTGTCTAACCGTCGACTGAAAAGTGAACCTTTTGCTTCTCGAATTGTTCTTCCTTTGCGGTTTCGATTCTCCGATCGCGTCGAAGTTGGAAGTCCGCGTTTCTTGGTCGTCGTTCGCAGAAGGCAAGAACGTTCTCCTTTGCTTTGGCTGACTGATATTCTCGCGTGGCTCGGGACAAATCGAAAGCTCGTTAAGACCTCTGGAATCGTTGCCGCCAATGCGACTTTTCGATCTTTTACATCGTCGTTTCGATACGTTGCCGACTTTGTCCTCGTCTTCGTCCTCGTACTCGTTGTCGTCATCTTCTTCTATTTCCTCCTCCTCTTCGTCCTCTTCCTCGCGCTCGTGCGCCTTCTCGACTCGGTCTTCCTTGTTATCGTCGTTGTCTACGTCGATGTTGCTGTTTCGATCGGCATTCTTGTACGCGTTTAATCGAAAAGGCGCGATTTCAGCCTGACATTCGCCTTGTTCCTCGCTATTTTGCTCGCGATTGATCGTGCTGGTTTCCGCGTAATCGGTAGAACCGATTTTTCTACTCCTTAAATGCTGCGCTCGGTGTTCCGTTTCGTTAGTCTCCGGTAGATACATAACGTGACCGCCAGGCATAAGATACGAAAAAGACGGAGGCTTCAGGATAACTGGAAAATCATTTTCTTTGACTTTAGCGTCGCGGTCGATCGCCTGATTGATTCGCGAGTCTCGTTCGTCGTCGACGTCTTCTGTCAAATCATCATCGATCCCATTAACGCCGTCGTTGTTGTCTTCGTCTTCGTCATCGACATCGTCGTCGTCGTTATCCTCGTCGTCGCTATCGCGCAAACGTTGAACGCGTCGAGCGACGCGATCTCGATACGGAAACGGCTGCCAAATCGAGGGCGAAATCCGCGCCGGTTCGATGCGGCCGCGATTGTGCTGCAACGAGGTTGGCGCGCTGGTCGATAACAACCAGTTATCGTCGAGAACGTCGCGAGTACATTTTCTCTGATGTTCGTGGGAACCTATACCGAAAGCTCCCGAAACCGATCTCTTCAGCTTCTGAAGCGAATTGAACGCAGACGCCTCCCTGGTCTTGGTTTCCGGAGCGTAGAGACACGTCGTCGTCCTGGCTTCGTCTCTGGGCAACGAAAGGGAGAAGACGTGCGCTCGCGGAGAATGATATTTCAACGGAGTGGATAAAGGCGGCGGCGAGTCGACGCCGGCGTCGCTGCTCGACTCCTCTCCCAAATCCTGTTGCGGCGTCCAAGTGGGCCTCGTCACGGTCGTTTTCATCCTGTTGATCGTACTAACGTCGAACGAGTCTTCGTTGCCGGCTCCGGCATCCCCCGATATTCCGGAATCTCCGGACTTGTCGTGCCAACTGCGGGGTCCCAGAGACAGAGGGAAAGGTGGTGGTGGCCTCGAGAGCCGCTCTATTCGTTCCTCGAACAGCACCTAAAAGAGAAACGAACGCCCGACGACATTCGCGGTTTCAACCGGAATCGAACCGGATCGAAACGGGAAGGTGACGATCGATCAACGAACAAAAACGTTACGACTACGAACCGGGATTTCTTCGCTGGCGGTGCTCATACTCGGGCCCGGTGTTTCCAATGTCGAAAGCAATCTCCAAGCAGCAGATGGCGAAAATCGCGGAATTTCCAATTGCTTCTTCGGCAAGGTGGGACGCAGCTTCAGCGAGATATTTTCCACCACGTTTCTTTCCTGAAAATGTTTCGCCGGTCGGTTCGTGGAACGAACGAGAAGAAAAAGAGCAGATCGAGCGATCGACCACTCACATTATCGTCCATGTCGTCAGTCGCATCCGCGACGAAGGAAGGTCGGCCGTCTGCTTGATCGCGATGCAGAAACTTGACCTCGGACTCGAACTTTCCCTCGATATCTTGGTCCTGGTGGGCTCGAGTCTCCGCAGCCGAACCCTCGTTCATGCCGAAGTAAAAGGTCTTTGGCGTCGTCGAGGCAAATCTAACGGACAACGAATACAGGTGCAAGTTATCGCGTACGTTATCGAAAGAGGAAACCATCGACGGTTGGAACCGTCAACGAGTCGCGAAAAGCAACTTACGATTGATTGTGTTCTCGATCCTCCGATCGTTCGTTTGGGGCGGAGTTGCCCGTTTCTCCGACGTACTCGTTGCCTAACGATCGCGCTTCGGATTTCTCGGCTATCGCGACGTCTGGCCACTTTTGATCGGGCGGTTGTTTCGCCGAAACGATCTTCGACCGACGGTCATCGTCTCGTCTGCTGCCAGGATCCGAATTTTGCTGCTGATGCTGCCACGGTCGGCCTTCGGTCGACTTGCAACTGTTGACAACGTCAACCGCGTCGTTCGCTGATCGATCCCTCGATGCCGGGCTTTCGTAGGTTCGACGACGTCGGTTCGATTTAGCGATCGCATCGCGGTCGACACCTCCTTCTGTTTCGCGATTGCCCGTTTCGATAACGTTCACTGAATCCAAGGATCGACCGCGTTGATCCCGTTCCTTACCGTCGTCGCGATTCTCTCGCCCATCTTCGATCTCGTTACGTCGACGACTCGATCGTTGATCGACAAGGCCGACCGTTTCCGCGTCGAAACGGTCGCCCCGACGATCATGCGTGGATTCGTCGAACGCCGTTCCGCTGGAATCTAACTTGTCACGGACTCTTTTAGCCACTCGAATCAACTCCGCTTGAAACTCTGGGCTACTGATGCTTCTTTGCAGCGTGTTCTTTCCGTGATCGGACAGTCTAGAACGATGGTGGCGATGTTCGTCGACGTTCGGGCGATCGCGATCGTGCCGGTTAACAGGCACTGCATCCGCAACGACCTCGTCGTTGTCGGAATGCTGGGTCGTCCGAGAGGGACGAGGGGCGCCGTTCCAATGGTTGGGCGCGTCTCTTTGCGTGGGTCGCGATCGTTCGCGATCGCAGTCGGACGACGGTGACAGCTGCCAGGTGATTTGGGCTTTCTTCGATTCGGCGCGAGTCTTAAACAGGCGGGATCTTCGTGGAGGCGGTTGAACTTGCGAACGATGGTGATGGTGTTCGACTTGATGAGCGTGAGAATGAGGATGGGAATGGAAATGCGCGTGCGGATAGAAGCGGGAGTCGACATCTCTCGAGGAGTCTCCGTGCAGACTAGGAGAGGCCGGAGATGCCGGCGGAGCAGGAGCTTTGTACTTTTTCCTAGGTTTGTATGCGCTTTCGAGTCGTTCTTTGGATTCCTTGCCATAGCGGTAACAGCTGGATGATGGCGGGACTGTCTCTTGCCTGTCGATCGAGTTGCTCGATAAATCGGAGCGGCCCGGGGTCGGAGGATAGACCAGATCCGGAGAACAACGAAGGTCAGGCTCGCTGCCAAACTTCTTCAGATTGCCGGCACTGGTGTTCGCATCTGGCCGACTCGAATCGGCTCGATAACGACAGCAGTGCCGATCGATCCTTCTCGAACAGGGTTGGACGAGGTTCGACGCGGAACCGCTTCTCTCCCGAAACGAAGGATCGTTGGTACGCTGCAACAGAAAGACGGTCAAGGCAATGACGCATGATTTTCTAGGTCGCGTTCGTTTTCTACTAATTAACGACGAGTTTCACCTTGGTGAGGTCGCGAGACGACGCGAACGTCGGTGCTCTGCGACCACTGATCGTTCCACCGTTCTGTATGATACTTCCGTTGTCGGTGGCGCGTAACCTCTGATTCGGTGGCTCGGGGAGAACCTTGCGCGCAGCGGTTGGCTGCGACCGATGTCTCGTTAATTCCCGAGGGAAGGACTGAGACCAACCCCGATTTACTCCATCCGGCACGGTCAGCCCGTTCGAACACACGGACGCAGCTTGCTGATCTCGAGAACTGCTCCCATTGTTGCCCATCTCGACGACCCTGCGGCGTCCTCGCTGCAGCTACGAGAACCGCGACCGATCCTCCATCGTCCGTGCATTCGGCGCTTCCTAAAATTCTTTGTAATTTCATCATCCTCGCTTTCTTCTGCCTCGTCCGCCTCCCCCGCCTTTCTTGCTTTCCACTCATATTTCGTTCTACTTGGCATAGCGTTGGTCGAGCCAACGAAATGCTTCTCGTTCGTGGAGACGAACTGCGCGAACCGAACAGAAGACCAACTCGTGCTCGATACCAGCGGTAACGGTTTTGCCTAACGGGTTCGAATTAGTGCAAGAGTCTCGATAAATCGACGGCCAGCGGCATATACTGCGTGCGCGTTGCTCGTCTTCTTCGAAAAATCGACCAGCTCGATCTCAAGTAATCGCGGCACGCTCGAATAGACGCGACGATAAATACGATCACGGCCAGTAAATTTACACGCCTACTGTTTTCCCGCTAAACGAGTATTCCATCTTTCGAGCAACGTTCCCGACGTTGTTGCGTAAAAGCAAGGAGAAAGCTGTGCCGAGAGGCATCTTCGTCGTCGTCATCTTTGCCGTAACGCTTCCTCGACCTTCGTCTATCGCCGCAGCGATTGCCGCCAATAGCCCAATTAGTCCGACCGGTAGCGATCGGAAAATCGGATGAGAGCGTTCCTGCATCCATGTATGCATGGGAGGTGAAGAAGAAGAAGACAACAAGAGAGAGAGAGAGAGAGAGAGAGAGAGAGAGAGAGAAAGAAATTGAAGCACGCCGTAGATGAAATCGGATCGAGGTCGCGGTCCACGTGTGAAAAAGAGAGTCTTTCAGGACAAGTTCGATCCAGTATATCCGGTGAGAGCGGACGAGCGATAACTGTCAGCCTGTTCTCATCTTGCGCGTTCTCTCTTTGCTTTCGAAGTCGAGAACGCGTTTCATGACCGAAATTCGATCGACGAGAACGTAAACGGAAGAATCCGCGGAAGGAATCCGAAAGTTGATAAACCAGTCCGGAGAAGGGGAAGAATGGCGGGAGAATGCCGTCAGTTGCCGCGGTAGGACAAAACACGAATCGATGTCGACGTCGCGTTGCACTCGTGGCCTATTCCTAGCCGAATCAACGCAACAGAACAAGCGCAAGAAGAAAAGGAGAAAAACGACAGGAGGGCAAGTGGAAAAAAGGAGAGAAGCGATCGTCTCGACTCTGACACGGCAAAATCTAGCGTACAGCGGGTACAGAGCGGCGATTAGTCGTGGATCGTTGGCTCGCTTCACGGGACGTGAGTCGTTGGCCGAATAGTCGCATGATCCCAGGCTCTAGACCGATGTTGCGCGTCGGACCTTCGCCTCGATTTCTCTCGTAACGGTTCGAATGCCGTATGTATTACGCGGCACCGTAATAGACCGTGTACGATTTCCGTATTTGCTCGTACGTGCCACTTCCTCTTCCGTCGTTTCGCGGCAAAATTTCTTACAACGACCGTTGCTCGTCATCCGTTTTCCCCGCTTCGCGCTCGCTTATCGAGCACTGGCGTTAGCGTCGTAAGACGAGAACGATCAGAAAAACGACGAACGACGGAAAGAAATATAGAGGACAAAGAGAAGGGAAAGCAAAAGCGCCGAACACTATCCAGGAACGAAGGCGAGTTCCACGGAAGGAGAGCGAACGAAACGCATAACCGGTTATCGTTTAACTGCCCGATCGTTGTCGGTCTTGCCATTTGCTCTTTCGTTTTACGTTTCTAGTTCGAAGTTGCGTTCCCGCGCAAAAATCGCCTAGACAAGGCATACGCCCCACCGGATCGTTTGACGCATCAAACGCAAGTGACAAACGACGACGACAGCAACGACGAGTACGTATTTTCTCGAACGAGCGCGTAGCTCTTCCTTTTTGGAAAATACATCGAACGGCGATTATCCCGCGATTGTTGGATCTGGGCGCCAGCTAAAACGAAAAGGAGAGAAGGGCCGAGGTTTGGTCCTAGTGGGAAGCTCGCAGGCAGAAGGAGACAAGAAAAAGTAGGAAGAGGACGGGGTGCATGGATCGGAGAAAGATAGAAGAGAACGGCAGGATATCGAGAACGAGTACGGATGGGTTTTATTCGCGAGGCATCTGGGTCAGTCAGAGTCGCACAAGTGCACTGTGCCGCACCTATTCCGTTCGCCGCACCTGTGCGCATGCGTGTTGGCTAGCAGGAGCGTAAAATCTCGGTGGATCGGAGATTCGATCGAACGAACGAGCCGAACGAAACCAGAAAAGAAAGAACGCCGCAAAAGCGAAAAAAAGAAGCGGCATCGTTCGGAATTATTTTCTCAGCATCGTTTCCCAGGAATTTTGGTATGCGGAAGGAAAGCTACGTAGCAAGGTTCGCAGAGCGATTGAGCGAAAGGCGGAGAAAAGAGAAGGGAGGGAACGACGTGTGTGCGTTATCTATATGATGGTGTTGGTGGTGGCAGCAGTCGAGCAATGTGTACCGGTAAAGAGAGAGCTAAGTATATGTATAGTTACATTCCGGTTAATAAAAGAGAGAAGGAAGAGAGAGAGAGAAAGAGAGAAGGGGGAGTATCGATGCGAGAATGAAAGAGAGCACGGAACATTTCGGACGCGAAGCAGAGATAGATGCGATCGGTAATCGAGGGAACGACGCGGCCGATTCGATGTTCGGAGTTCGCGGAATATTCGGCGCCCGGGGAGGCCCTTCGATCACTCTCCCGAACCACCACTTTTTTCGAGCATTTCTTTCTCGTGCAGCGAGTAACAAGTATATAATGTATAAGCGATATACGTCTATTTCGTCTTTTTGCCTTCCTCAGCTTCGACTTAACTCGCTGTTTGCCCTTGTGGTCATCGCCACAGCGTTGTCATCGCCATTGCCATCGTAATCGTCGTCGTACCTATCGTTATTCTCTCGTCAACTTTCGACTACTGACCTCATTCGAACCACGATTCTCTCTGTTATTGCTGCGCGCGGTACTTTGACTGCTGTCGCATTACCGGGAAACTAGCATCGAAAATCCAGGTCAATCGCGCGCCCGCCCATACGTGCGATTCTTTCGTGAGATGAAGCGTTCGTTGCGAAACTTCCTGCGCGCGTTGCGCGGATCCACGATTCCTCGAAAGCAAATATGTACGTGGAGTCGGTCAAATTTCGCCGTACTTTTCTTTCCCCAATGGATATCGTCCGCGAACGCGATTCTAACCATCGACTTTAACCGAAACAGAGCTACTACGAATGCTACTCATAATCCATAATCCACTGACTGACGAGGAATGGCATGCCCAGCCGCGATAATTCAACGAGGATTGTGACGTCCTCGACGCTGAAGGGCAAATGGCAAGAACCAGCGAGAAGTGAAAGCTGTGTTTGCGCAAAGAAGGAACAGCGATGCGTTCAAGATCCGAATGATTTTATTTGATATTCCGACACGGCTCTTTTAAATATATCCTTCATTGAAAGAGAAGAAAGGAAAGAAGAAAAAGGATGGGCTCCATTGGCAATGAGCCTGCCAACGATGTTGATCGAGGAAAGAAGACGATGCGAAACTGTGCGTCTAGTCGAACGGAATCGAAAGAAACGAAACGGATGGGAAGCGAAATGAAACGAAGCGAGACGAACCGTAATCATCCGCGCATTGAAGAAACTACGAGTGTTAGAAGAGAAAGGATGGAAGATACGACAGTCCTCCGTGCGAGAAGTGAACCGCTTTTCTCAAGGAAGCGAGGAGAGTAATACGACCGTCGCTTTACGACTCGAGATTCGTTGTTCGTGAGATACCGTCTCGTTAATTGGAAACTACCGAGCGAAAGCTTCGTTAACAGGCAACGAATGAAAACTACGCTTAACGCGCTACCGTAGACGTATACGCAAAGTAGGCGAGTACACGCTTGCTTACGCATTCGATGCAGCTGCGACTGCGCGAACAAACTCGACATCATATAGGGCGCGCGCAAACCAAATTTCCTTCTTCGAAACTTTCCTACGCGCCGATCGACCGTTTCAGCGCACGGCTTTCTCGTTCGTAAAACACGCAAGAAAACGCCGCCGATTAACCTTGGATAGCTCCGTATCGCATTATCCTTACGTAGTACCACGTCCGAATCTAAACTATTGTTGTATGTGACAGTCTGATAAAGTGTACCAGTAAGGAAAAATCAAGCGGCGAAACGTCCCCAGTAAAGCGTATCGATATTCTGGCTCGATTTTTAATCGCACGTTTTAATCGCGTCTAAGCTGTAACCTAAGCGGAAATCCAAGCCAGAATGGCTAGCGCGAAAAACGACCAACGCTCATTTGCAATCCCTCTCACCTGCGTCGCAGAACAAAAATTGAAGCTTCAAACCATCCTCTCGAGATATATATGAAACGAAAGATCTTTAACGATTCCTCGTGCTTCGATTTTTTCCAAAAACTGCGTCGCGGTTATGGATTGAAAAAAAAAGAGGAAAACGGATACGAGAAAGAGAAAACGTCGCGCTGCAGGAATCGTTAAAGAGTAAACAAAGCTAGTGGTCTCTCGGTAAAGATACATCGGAGCGGGAAGCATCTAACGGGGCAACGTCACGGCGCGTTAATCTTCTGCCGATTTTGTCTATTCTTTCCGTATTTCTCCCATCTTTCGCGACAACAACCGACCGCGATCGTACGGATTCTTTCCACGATCGACGATTCGAGAATCTCCCGCGAGACTGTTCTCGCTGTTTGTTCGACCGATGCTAATATCTCTACCGCTTTCGTTTCGTCGCAATCAACGAAATTACACGCATTGTACTCGTGAACGGGAACAGGGACACGGTTTTTTCCACGAGTATTGTTCTTCATCGTAGAATCTGCCGTACACATTTATCTGCTGAATGATGCTCCCACCGTGTTTGTTGGCCATTTCGAATACACGGCCTTTTAAAATTTCTGTTGCGTCGCGTCGCGCGAAAGGTCTTTGCGTTCGAAAGGAGGCCATCGATTCTTAAGCAGTCAGGATACAAATTCGTACAACGTTTATTTTTTGAACCGATCTCGAATTTCATGGCTCCTGTTCTTTAAAATCCTGTCATCGTACGAAAGACTGGAAGCAACGCACTCCTATTCGTTAATATAGGAGTTGAAAATTTATCGACCCTATGATTGCGATAAATACACATTTTTCGACCATTTTCTCGGTGTTATTACATTTACATGTACATATATACTTGCCTTAATTAAAGTTAGCGGTAGCGTAGAATAAACAGCAAACAACACGTAACAGTCGAATTGTACGATATTATTCACTGTCGCGAGTATCTCCGTGCGGCACGACTTCTCTCTTCCTAGAGATCGACTGTTATCGTACGCTGTAGCACACGCGCAATTTCCCCGACGACTAGTTAAATTTCAAATGTCGAATTCGCGAGACTATAATCGTACTTTCGGTATGCGAACGTCTGCCACGAGATTAAGCGTGGCAATAGGGAACGATTAAGGATAGACGAAAATCGGCTGACGAGAAAGCGAATGAGAAAGTAGGTATGGCAGCAGGAAGAACAAGATATAGAATAAGGATGAGAGAAGGATCAAAGTGAGGGAGAGGAGGGAAAATAGATGCAAAAATGGGAAAAGAGGAAAAAGAGAAAGGAGGAAAGAAGAGAAAAGAGGAAGGAGAAAACAAAGAGCGAAATCGTCGAACTGCACGGTGCGTTTAGATGGTAAGACGACTCAAAAGAGAGTGCGATCCGCGCGGTCCTTATCCTCGAACGCGACGCGAAATCGGAACTGAGCGACGGTGGCGGCGGCGACGGTGGCGGCGGCGACGGCGGCCCTCGAATCCCCACCCCTGTGAACACTGGTTAAAACCGTTCTCCTACCATCGCTCGTCTTTCATCTATCTACCAACCTGCCTACTATCTCTCCATCCTTTTCACCTAACCATGTAACGCATAGCATTGTCCCTTCCCCTACCTATCTCATCCTTGCCGCATTCCTTTCAACGTATTCCTTCTATATGAGTGTGTTATGTGATGTTTTTTCTAATGTTCCAACAATTAGACGTAGCTGTTCAACATTTCGCCACCTTTTTTCGCTAAATGTTTGAATCGTGATGTATCGTCCGATTTTTTTCCTTCTGCGATCCTTTACCTCAACACCTCGTGTCTTTACGCACGTCAAGTTCACACTAATCGAACGCAAATCGATTTTTCACAACTAAATGCTCATTCTTGTCTCATATTAGCAACTATTTGCTTTAGGAAATACGTACTTGCTATCAACAATAAACACAATCGTTGACAATGCGTTGCTACATGGAAGTATAATTTAATCTATGATTCTATTACATTAACCGATAAGCTATTCGCTTAGTACTATGTACAAATATTTGAAAGGCAATTAAAATTATTTGTGAGGGGGCCAAGTCCACTGATGCAGTGGAGCTTTTTCTATCAAGCTTTCCCATGGCTTATACTCAAACATATCCTGTGCCAAGTTTAGTTCGTTTTTCGCGTGAAGTATTAGTTCCTCCATTTGTCCCTGGTTTATCTTTTCTTCTATAGCAGCGACGCTTTCATTCTGCAACGTTAGATATGTACATATTATATCGGTAATTCGATTCGAAATAAAAATATCGTCCAAATATCTAGTATTTAAGAATCCTTAAGTGAGAAATAACCTGTGATATAATATCGGTCCTTTCCTTAACCAAACTTTCGATAGATTTCCTATAAATATAGTCTTCTGGCATCTGACTCACGAGCCGTAAAATTCGGTCATACAATCTACTTAGTTCCACACGAGGATTCACAGATACAGCGAGTCCAGTTAAGTTTGTTGACTATGAATAAAAAGATATTGTTATTGAACAGAACATGAAAAAAAGATATGGTTATGTTTTGAACGAAATGACGGAACCATTTCGAGAATGAAAGAGATATTATCCAATTATTTTAGCAATTTACTAATTATATTATGTTATACACAGAGACGTTACCTTTTTCAATGCTCCTGACATGATCGTACACGTACGACCTATTTCTCTGAAATAAAAACTAATTACGCGATCAACTTCCGATTTGACTCAACCTCAAAATTATACGATACGATATATTTTCTGTAGTGGTAACACTGCATTGCTACAACATCGCTATCTCGACAATAAATTGTCAACTACGCTTGGTATGTTCAAATTAAAGAATCATGCAATTTCTAAATATCGTTTATCTCCCTTTCATCTTTATCTTAATCGAATCATTCCCTGTTGATTTTGTTCACTTTTGCGTTAGCCTTCCAACAGAATTCGCTCGTTATTTCGTTAACGGACAAAATTATGAAATTGAAGATCAAATAATGTTTATTCGAATAACAATTCGATCTTTTTTTTTATCATGATGTATCCTTATACGCGTAGTATATGAACGACAAGGACGGGAAACATAGAGCAAGAATCACTTTAAAGACATATCATTTATTTTATATTTTCACAAATAAACATGTTTATCGATTAGATTTAGCAACACGTTCGAGTTCGTCCTTCTTTTTAATCGCGTAAGAATTAGACGAACCTTTGGCAGCATTGATGAGTTCATCCGCCAAACATTCGGCAATCGTCTTAATATTACGGAATGCGGCTTCCCTAGCACCGGTACATAATAACCAAATGGCCTGATTTACTCGTCGTAGCGGAGAAACATCCACCGCTTGTCTTCTAACCGTACCAGCACGACCAATACGCGTGGAATCTTCTCTTGGTCCTGAGTTAATGATAGCCGTCACAAGAACCTTCGTACAAACGTAATAAACGTAAAGATAAACGTGTGTAAATGCATTTTCATTCTAATTTTACTTATTTACATACATATGTACATATATAAAATAGAGTGACCATAGTTAGTTACAAAAAAAAATGACTATAATATATGCATTACCTGTAAAGGATTATCACCCGTTAGCAGGTGAATTATTTCAAAGGCATGTTTTACGATTCTTACTGCCATTAACTTTTTCCCATTGTTTCTTCCGTGCATCATTAAAGAATTTGTGAGACGTTCAACTATGGGACATTGAGCTTTTCGAAATCGTTTCGCAGCATAACGTCCAGCAGAATGTGGTAGATATTTTGCATTTTTCTCTTTTACAGCGATATAGTCTTGTAATGACATATCGTTCACCTGTACATCATCGCAATTCCAACGACCAAATAATTTAATTTCTGGCAATTCAGCGGAAAGTGCCACAGGCAAAGTTGTAGTGGTAGGTACCACTATATCATCATACGTTTCTATGTCAGCCATGATTTATCTGTAAAATAAAAGTTATCATTAAAAACTTCTTATATATGTGTTATTCATATAAATTGTATATTAATAATGCAAAATTATAGATCGCCAATTTTTAGCACTATGTGCGTAAATCACAGAGAGAATATATTCATTATTCTGCAAAATGAATATAAAAATTAAAAATTTGAAAAATATTCCATTTAACGGATTCAAATACTGCAAACGCTGTTTATTTTTGTTGAATATCAATCAACGCGGTACATTGATAGAAATGAGGAAAAAAAGAAAAAAACGAAAAAAAGAGAAAGAAATATGTATAAACATCGCTTAGTTGTATAAGTAGTAAAGTTTGACAGAAATTGTAACAGCGCGGAGTAATTGAAACGATATAGACGTTCAACGCAATTTCTTTGAAATTGAATGTTTCCAAAGTCCTCTCATTGTTATCTATGAAACACCACAACTTTGTTGATATAAAAACTTGTATACGAATAACACGAAGACATGTGGCCATGTGGTCGCGTGTACAAATCGAAACATATTTAGCTAGTAAATAGTAGAACGTATTATACGTTTTTAATCACCGACTATCGTTTGCACGTTGCCAATATAATGATATCACTTTTTTTAACACAACTGAATAGGTAAAGTTATCGAATCTTCGAGTCCCTTACCATACAAACTTCGTTCACGTCTTCTTTGGAGTAAGCGTGAACAGGAAAAGACCATGACACTAGTGGCGCTTCGACCTGTGACTGCCGGATTTCACATACCCTAGTCAATTTCAACATACAACGTGACTATCTTTAATTTCCATATCATATATATTTATGATATAATATAGACTACTTTCACGCATAATTAATTTCCATCGTTTCCTTGATCGATTAATTTTTTGTTGTAATGAGGAAGCATGACAAGTTTTCAATATTATAGTCGTTAATTTGACTACCAAGTGTTTACAGCAGTACTGGTAAACGCACAAGCAGAGACGATTGGTTCGTGAGTTGCCATTTTGAGCGTGTATTTATGAGTAATTCTACTTAAATAACATATTATTAGTGAATTTTTGTGATATTCTATTCAGTTGTCATAATTGTTTAAAAGTGCACATGTGAAACAGTTCGATAATTGTGTACGATCAAGTGTTTGGTTTCATGTTTGGGGTTAGTACCGGTTACCGCGAGTAAACCGGTACATGTCGAATAGATAAGTTCGCGTCAACTACGAAAGATGTCACTACTAAAAAATCTGGAACAACTTCCGGTCTTTAGAAGGAAACGGTAAGTATTATTTGTATTTTTATATTTGTCTGACATGATACTATGCGTCGACAGTAAATGAATTTCATTTCTGCAAGAATTATGTATATCAGATAAATGTATTGCGCGACCTATCCATGTTCTTACAAAGTATGTAGTTACCCAGGTAGTAAGATATACGACATTGTACTTGTGAAAACAAGCAATTAATGTATCAGAAAGATAGAGAGAGAGAGAGAGAGAGAGAGAGAGAGAGAGAGAGAGAGAGAGAGAGAGAGAGAGAGAGAGAGAGAGAGAGAGAGAGAGAGAGAGAGAGAGAGAGAGAGAGAGAGAGAGAGAGAGAGAGAGAGAGAGAGAGAGAGAGAGAGAGAGAGAGAGAGAGAGAGAGAGAGAGAGAGAGAGAGAGAGAGAGAGAGAGAGAGAGAGAGAGAGAGAGAGAGAGAGAGAGAGAGAGAGAGAGAGAGAGAGAGAGAGAGAGAGAGAGAGAGAGAGAGAGAGAGAGAGAGAGAGAGAGAGAGAGAGAGAGAGAGAGAGAGAGAGAGAGAGAGAGAGAGAGAGAGAGAGAGAGAGAGAGAGAGAGAGAGAGAGAGAGAGAGAGAGAGAGAGAGAGAGAGAGAGAGAGAGAGAGAGAGAGAGAGAGAGAGAGAGAGAGAGAGAGAGAGAGAGAGAGAGAGAGAGAGAGAGAGAGAGAGAGAGAGAGAGAGAGAGAGAGAGAGAGAGAGAGAGAGAGAGAGAGAGAGAGAGAGAGAGAGAGAGAGAGAGAGAGAGAGAGAGAGAGAGAGAGAGAGAGAGAGAGAGAGAGAGAGAGAGAGAGAGAGAGAGAGAGAGAGAGAGTGGGCGAGAATGAAGGGGGCGAGCGGTAAGAACAGCTAAGTGCGAAAATTTAAATATTATATTAATTATTTCATATATTACAAGAATATTGTGACCATTGCAATTCAATAAAAAATAGTTACAGTTTTATACTTGACGGATGAATGAATTGGTTTGGTAGAGGAAATAAGTATCGCGAATAATTTGCAATGTCATGTTAATAACAATATCAATATTACAGTAAAGCAAAATAAAAGGAAAGAAACAAGAATGAGAAGGTTTCTAAACCTTCCTAAACCAAGATTAGGTTCCTAATTCTGTTTGTTCCAAGATTTGACCTGGCATTAAAGGTTCTGTCATTAAGGAAAAAAACCGTCATCGGCGAAAAGTATTCGTTCATTAAAGTCATAAAGTTCGTAAATTTGTT